GTTGAATTTTTGAGAAAAGATGCCTGTACAGGAGAAACAAAATAAATCGACCGAAATGAGAAACCTTTTTCGGAAGGAATGAAATGAATCATTTGCCATGGAATATGACTCTGTTAGTGAGCGACTTTTCCTGGATAGCAACAGCTCATCAGGTCTTGAAAGGCCTGGCCCCTCCTGGGGATGCCGTGTCAAGTAAGCTGCCTGTTGGATTGAGGCTCATAGTGGTGAGCTGCACTAAGATGATTAACGAGAGCTGCTTCCAGATTGGGAAGGTAAAAAAAGAAATAATTGGGGGATCTCAAGTGGCTGAACCAGTCAAGGAGATTATTTGTGTGAGCCCAGTGGCAGAGAGACTGGAATTCCCAAAGTGGCTAAGCCCAGCTGGTAAAGTACTGCTAGAGTCCTGAGAGCAATTGTCGGTCAGGGTCTGGGTAGCTCTGAGTGGAACAGGGACTTCCTGGGAGCGTGCAGGCTGGCAGTGGCGTCAGAAAGAGGCGGGTTACTCAGCGGGGGCTTGAACTCAACTCGGGAGCAGCGATGCTGAAGCGCGTTGGAGAGGGTACAGCTCTCCAATTGTATCCGTTTCAAAGGAGATGCTCTGCCTCTGAATCCTTCATGAATTGAAGAAAGTTCCTGAGCTCTCGTTGTCCGGTTTGGACCAGATGGGCAGAGCTGGTTCAGAGACATTACACCAAAACAGCTTGAAGTCAGTCCTGCAGGCACTGGGCAGCCAGTTAGAGCATCTCTGGTGCTGGAATATACCAGCTTGTCTTGGGTTAGTCCTGTATGAAAGGTGTGTGCAAAGTGTCAGAGCAAAGAGTAGGTTACGGGATTCTAATGCCTTGTTTCCAGATGCATGTGGCAGAGAGCAGTACCAGTCTGGTTTCTGTAATTTTCCTGCTGTGCTTTTTAGCTCTAGGACTGAGCATTACTGGATGATTACAGCAGAGGCTACAGGGCACCTTGGGTTGGTATTTTGCAGGACATAACTCTTTGAAATTAAAATGGTTTATAAACGTACTCAGCATTGTGCAGGGATCCAAATGTTTCACACACAATGAAAAGTTGCCCCTTTGACTTGGCATTTTAAACAATTGCGTCTTTGCCAGTCCAGCTGGAGCATGTTTCCGAGTTTGGTAAGCAATTTAGCATCGGAATGCAGAATGCACAATAATGATCCAGGGAGATCTGGGACTAGCCTCATGGTCTGACTAGGAATCTTTTCTTTTTTTTTTTTGTCCAGGATCTTCTCATTCCTGGATGTGGTGACGTTGTGCCGCTGTGCCCAAGTCTCACGGGTGAGTCTGTTGTCCCGAAGGGTCAGGTGGGTGCTGGAG